TTCTGACCTGAGCTACCTCTGCAACTTCACTCGGCTTCTCCAAGAGCCTAGATCCCCAAACAAAGCCAAGATGGGTCTGGGAGTTATGACCCATGTGCCCGGCAGGTGCCATTTTTGACTTTGAAACATCAGGGCAATTAGGGCAAGAGAGGCCCAGCTGGGAGGGTCTTGGAGCATATGCAGCACAGAGGAAGGAAAACACCACTCATGCGTATGAGCTGCAAGAACAGCATATGGATGGGCATCTCCATAAATCACCTGCCCCACAGGCACCCACAGAGCCGACGTGTTTTTCATGTACGATGTATACAAACCATACACCAGTATTTAATTCCTATTGCTTCAGTCCTGATTTTGTACTGAAATTAATTTCTCAAAGATTCTCAAAGACCCAATTGGTTCCCAATTCCCATGATGGCACAGAACTGTGGAAAGGACATGGGCTTAAGAAAAGTGTTATTTTGAGCATGAAGGGAACGTAGTGAATATCTGGGTTTTCCTCTATTTTACTGGTTAATTTTTATTAATCTTTTTCCCCTGCTTACAAAAGAAGTATTTGTATGTCCAAAATATTACAGAAATATTTGCTCTAAGAAGCAAAAGTCCTCCATAATCTCACCTCTCAGAGTTAAATATCAATAATGGTTTGGTGGATATTTCTCCACATTTTTCTTTTAATTTATTTTGGCTGTGCCGGGTCTTAGTTGTGGCACATGGGATCTTTGTTGCGGCATGCAGGATCTTTAGTTGCAGCATGCAAGCTTCTGCGTTGTGGCATGCATTCAGGATCTAGTTCCCCGACCAGGGATTGAACACGGGTCCCCTGCATTGGGAGAGTGGAGTCTTACCCACTGGACCACCAGGGAAGTCCCTCTCCACATTTTTTTTGTCCATGTACATATTTTAATTACTTTTTGAAAAACAGAATGATACCATATGTGAAAACTTTTTTCAAACAACACATCTTAGACCTGCCAAAGCAAAGAGATCTACCTGCCTCATTCTTTTGAAAAGTTGTACAGTGTTTTCTTGTATGCACCATAATTTATTTAATCTGTCTGTCACTGGCTGACATTTTATCTACCCAGCTTTCTAAGTGAATCCCAAAGGGGATAACTGGCTTGTGCCAGGTCACATGGATACTGAGAGGTAGCCCCCAGATTACCTCCTCATGCCCAAGCTAGTATTACTCCTACTCTGCTGCCCCTTGACTTTCCATTTTATTTACTCTTACTGCCACGGGCAGGAGTAGGGTCTGTACTGGAGAAGGACTCTTGAACCAGCTTTTGTCCCAAGGATTCTGGAGAGGAACTGAGGACAATTGGCTGTCACAGCTAAGAGAAGGCCAGCCAGGTCCTTTCACTAAGGAATGATTTAGACACTTGCCATCCTACTGAATTAGAAAGAACATACAGACAAAGGACATAAAAGAATCTGCGGGGGGAAAAAAAAAACTGGCGTCTGGTCCTTAAATCAATTTTTGATAATGAGTGTCATATATTTAAATGTTCACACATAATCATCACATTAGTATTAACTATACCATCAAAGACAATCTGATTATATAATATGCTTCTTCACGTGTCACCGCCATGAACTTGTTAATACAGGTAATTATAAATGGAGAAGTAGATTGAGGGTATATTCAATAGAAGCCTCTGGAAGTCTGAGTGTGATTTCCTGCTGCTTCCCATCAACTTGCATGAGACAAAGCTAAACGATTCTCCTGGCACAAGGACACCAGGCCTCACTGCCAGGCCATTCACCCCAGGCCTCATCTCAGACCTACTTTTCCTGATTTGGGGGGGCCCTGTGATCCCTGTGTGTCACCCAGGACTCCTCTGGTTGCAAGAATCTTGTGCCCAACTCCAACCAGCGTCAGTGGGAAAGGGTTGGTGGGAGGGGTACCAGGAGGTCGCTGGGTGATGCCCAGATCAAAGGGGTCTAAATGAGCCAGAATTGGGAAAGCAGACGTGAGGCTGGCCCTGGGAATCTCAGGAACTGGAAGCAGCTCAAATTCTGCCCCACATGTCCACACCCCCTCACCCCCCTAGGGCCCTGACACCCACTGACCCACCGCCTGCACAGATGCCCACTCGCCTGCAGAGGCTCCAACACTCTATGCTAGGCCACCCTCCTCTCCTCACGCTCAGATCCCCTGCTCGCCACCCCATGGGAGGGCACCCCTGCCAGGCCACGTGGGCTCCCAAACTCTAGGACACCTCTGCCACCCTCACTAGACCACCCCTCCAGACACAAATGCCCTCAGTGCTCTCAGGACCCACCCCCGCCCAGGCACCAGGGCCCCAGACGCCCTGTGCAGACACCGCCCTTGCCTGGTCCCACCTAAGGGCATCTGGACCAAATTGTTTGGGAAGGAGTGGGAGAGGGGGAAGGACAGAAAATTTCTGACCTGAGAATATATAATTCTATCTAAGATGAAGAAAAATGGGTATCAAAACAGTACCTAGGGTTTCCCTGGTGGCGCAGTGGTTAAGAATCCACCTGCCAATGCAGGGGACACGGGTTCAAGCCCTGGTCCGGGAAGATCCCACATGCCGCGGAGCAGCTAAGCCCGTGCGCCACAACTACTGAGCCTGCGCTCTAGAGCCCACGAGCCACAGCTACTGAAGCCCACATGCCTAGAGCCCATGCTCCGCAACAAGAGAAGCCACTGCAATGAGAAGCCCACGCACCGCAAGGAAGAATAGCCCCTGCTCGCTGCAACGAGAGAAAGCCCGCGCGCAGCAGCGAAGACTCAACACAGCCAAAAATAAAAATAAATAAAATAAAATAAATTTTAAAATAAAAAAGTACACACACTAGCGTGACTCTCAGAGGCAGGGACCCCAGTGTCGGGGCTGGTTTAATAGTCCTGAGCATGGCAATGGGGTGGAGGGGGAGAAAATGGATCGTTGTGCTCGGTTGAGTTTTGATTTTCATCTGAAAAAGGGGAATATAGTAAAATGAGCTCATGTTTTATGCTAAAATCCTGTGGATTACCATAGAACTCTTCTCTCCACCCAGATGATAGTGGCACAACCTGCTCAGCTTCAAACTGGACATTTACCCCCCTCAGAGTGTCCCACGGTCTCTCCAGGAGTGAAGGGCTTGTCACTGTGAGCCCACGGCAGTCACCATGTGGCGTCTTCCTCCCCTTCCCCTCTGGGTCCCACGAGTCCACATCTGGGTCCTTAAAGCTCCATGGAGAAGCCTCCCCAAGGCCACGGCCATCATGAACCCCAGGGCCCCTTCGAATGACCTGAGTGTTCTGCAGGTCTCCAGGTCTAGAGGCGGCAGAGCACTTCTGGAGACTGTTATCTCCTTCCTTTGGCACCTGAGCCCCAAAGTGGCTCTTACTTCACCCAGAATCTAACTTATCCCAGGAAACAATTTTCCATGTTTGTATACAGTGGAAACAATTGTATCTCATGGAAACAATTCTGTCTGTTCCAACGCTCATCCCTCCAACCACAGTACCTCTTCCCTAGACCGAGGGGCTGGCCGAGCAGCAGATCTTATCAACTCTCCTCCCTCCTCTGTTTATCCCACCGTCCTCTTCCCTCTCAAAACTCCTCCTTCTTTACCCAGTAACAAAACGTATGCTCCTAGATATATCAACGGACACCAGCAGATCGCAAGGGTAGGGGAAGGATAGAACCCTTATCAGTAGCACCTGAACGCCATCCAAAGATGCCTAAGATTTGTATTAAGTAGGAGAGACTCTGAGCAATAACAGTGTAACAGAGTTTCCAAATTTCAAAGGAATCATTTGTATAAGGCTGGATACTGAAGACTTCTATCTTCAGAGTTATCAACTCTCAGAGCCAGTTAGTGATTTCAAGAAAGACCCAATGGATAAAAACAAAGGGACCGCTGATATTCGGTCTTCAAGACAACCACATGACTATGGTCCGAGCAGAATTGCATTCTGGGAAGTGCCTGAGCTCTGAAGTGAACCAACCTGGGTTCAGATCCTCCCTCTACCATTTACAACCTAACAGACCTCGAGCAACCCCCTTGATGTCTCTGGGTCTCTGTTTCTTTATCAAGGTTGTTTGACAATATCTGTGTCAAGCCTCTGGTACATGGAAGACACTAATACACAGCAATTATTATTACTGACTAATAGTGGGGTACACAAGCTACTTTATTTTACTTACATTTTATTAAATGTATACAAAGTTGTCTGGAATATTTTTTATATTTATTTGTCAAATTGCCCTTTAAAGATCCATCCAAAATATTATACCATTTTAGAAAAAACTAAAATGATGGAAATCCAACTCAGTTTTTGGACTGTTTTCTATCTAATTGGAATTTCCATGGAGACCAGGCATCGAAAGTTCTCTCTCCCCCAACCCATGGCTGGGGGCAGTCAGGTCCCCTCCCCCGCCAGGCCGCCCACAACCTAGTTGTAATATATCCGTGAGCCCCTCATGTTTCAGATCCAGCCCAGAGAATACCCTCCAGCAGCTTGTTTGCTGGGTGTTTTTTGGTGGAAATTCAGCATTTCATTCTACCATTTCAAATGGAAAACTGAAATCCAGTAATGTAACTTTTTATATTCTTTTCGACCATGGAAAAAACCAGGGGAACTACTCAGGGAGACATTGTCCACCAAGCCATCATTGAGATGTGGACTGTCTTCCCTGAAATGACTTTCAAGGTCACTGTTTGATCTTTGACCTTGGACTGGGAGAATCACTAGTTAGGTTTTCACATGGTAGCCACATACATAGGAGTTGGGTTTGGGGTGCCGCTGAGATGATACAGGGAATGGGGTGAGGGCTGGGAATCAGGGAAAAGGGAAGCAAATCTTCAGTTTCACCAAGAATCTTGCTTCCCCCAGCCCTTCTCAGCTCATCTCATTGGGTAGATCAGTTATCTTTGGCCCAGTAAGATTACCACTTTCTGCTTGGCTAATACCCAGTGCTTTACTGAACCAGAAAATGCCCTCAGCAGGGAAAGCAGAGGTAGATACATGAGATAAAACTCACTTCAAGTCTTTCGTGTCCTTGAAGGATTGTGTTCCCTCCAGTTCCTGTCTGCTTGGGTTGCTCTCCAGTGCCTGCAAACAGACATATCCATAGATTACAAATATATATAAAATATATCTTCTATATAACATATTATATATAATGTATACAATTTTCCTCCAGTTTTTATAATTGCTATCAGTGGAAGGGCTAACCCAATACATGCTACTTTGACTGGAACTGGAACTCTAGTTAGAACGATGTTTAATAGTAGAAGGCAACACTTGCACAAGACTCTTCAAATGAAGTCTTATGCGAAACCCTAATACATTAAACAGGTGAAAGAAAAGCTAGAGTCCAGTATTGGCCAGGTCGGTAGAAAGTATCCAGATTCACACACACAGAAAATGGAACATAAAGCTGGTCATATTCTTTGGGACTCTTGAAGTTTGAAAACCACCAAGAGAAAGGATGTGGGTTTTGGCTTCTGAGAGACCTCAGCTTGAATGCCAGACCTTACTAGGTATGTGTCCATAGGAAAGTGATTTAACTTCTCTCAAGAAAGTCACCTTGTCTGCAACATGGAGACAGTGGTACCCATCTTGTTTTCGTTTGTTTGTTTTCTTTTGGGGCCGCGCTGTGCAGCTTGTGGGGTCTTAGTTCTCTGACCAGTGAATGATCCTGGGCCCTCAGCAGTGAAAGTGTGGAGTTCTAACCACTGGAATGCCAGGGAATGCCCCCCATCTTGCTTTTTAATGAAAAATTGTTATAAGGATTATCACAAAGTACATGAAGAGCATCTTGCACATTGCCTAGTGTATAGTGGACAAAATTGTGAGCTTCTCAAATGCAGGGCTATTTTCTCCACTTTTCTAACTCACTTAGCTCCTATCCAAGGATTGTACACTTGCTTGTTGTTTTACTTGCCTTTTCTCTATTAAAAATATTTCCATGTAGGCCTCCACAGCCCTAAATCCTGAGCTGTCATTATTCTGAAATAGCACTGCAGGACACAAGAGCATATTGAGAAGTATTAGGCTAAACAGAGCTTTTAATTGCAAATGGAAGATAAACGAAGATGGACTCCTGTCTATGTGTGCACATGAAAACTAACAGTTCAGATGGTGATAGGAAATCGACACTGCTACCTGCCATGCTTGATATGAACTATAAACGGATCTTCTGTAACAGCCCAAATATCTCTAAAGACATGTAATGTAACCATTCAGTAGCACACCCTTTTTTAAAAAAGTAAATTTGCTTTTACTAAATGTGTAAATGGATGACTGGATAGAGGCTCATGGAAGCCTTTGCCACTGTGTGTTGATAATCTTGTTAATAAAACCTCATGAAATTTTTCTAGGGGAAAGAAGATGAGGCTTCTGATTTCAGCCTTAAAAGAAGGGGAAAATATTTCTTGCAACATAGCAACCCTAGGGAAAGATGGAGAATAGCGCTAATAAATATAAAAAGGGGACGTTAATTAATCAGAAAACAAGCAAGGAGAAGATAGTAAATAAACAATTCTCTAGATAGTGTAATTTTTTAAAAAGAGAGAAAATAGATATTGATAATTAGAAATAAGTAAAGGGGTATAAGCAAAGATATGGAAGATATTTTAAACCTTAGGGAAATAATATGCATAATTCTGTGATACTAAATTTTAAAAGCTTGATAAAATGGATGGTTTTCTAAGAAACTGTCAATTGTCAAAATTGTCCTGAGAAATAAACAGGAAATCTGAGCAGACTAGCAACTCTGCAGAAAGCTACAGCACCATGAAAAGAAAAAACAACAGACCAAACTCTCTTGTGAATATAGATATAAATTTAAATTGCAAATCAAGTCGAATCAATTTTCAAGTGATAGTAACACCATTACTAAGTATGATTTGGAAGAAAGGGTAGTTCAATAGCAGGAAAGCTATTAATGCAATTTATCACATCAGTAGATCAAAGAAGATACCACAGTAGGAAGAGAGGAGAGGTAGAGGCCAAGCATCAGATGTTGAAGACAGAGCCCATGGGCTGGAAACATGGCTTTTCTTCCTATGTTGTGACTTCTACCAAGCAGTCTAACTTCCCTGCGCCTCAGTTCCCTCACTGTAAAATGGACATACTAACGTTATCTACTTTAGGGAGCTGCTGTGAGAAATCAATAAATTAACATTTGTAAAGCGGTGTACACCATGGCTTGGTGTTTAGTAAGCCCGATACAAGTACTTGCTTAATAAAACAAAACCCAGTCATCATCTCTCTAAAGGCTGATGACAAATTTATCATCATTTCCTGTTAGAAGCTTTTGATAAACTGAATAGCAGGATATTTCCTTAACACCATAAAGAATATCTAACCCAGACTAACAACTGACATCACTCCACTGAGACAATAAACGGGCAAATGCAGAAAAGGGAAAGGCTAGACTATATCCTGCGCTGTGGAATTGGAACTGGAGGTATTGGTATGAACCAATGGGTTTTAATAAATACAGATCACTCAGTATGAAAATAGATGTGTGTGTGTGTGTGTGTGTGTGTACACATACATCTATTTCTTAGCTCTGCCCACCCCAAGGGCTTATAAGCAATGACAATCCAGTAGCAGTAAGCTACGAGTATCCAGATATCAGTTTCTAAATACTATTATCCATTAAAATGAAGCAGGGTTCCTTGGAGAAATTGCTGATTCCAGGGCAGAGACAGGGAAAGTACAAACTGAGCCTAGAACAGCTTCTGCCATAAAGAAAGGACATGCTTTAAAATGATGGAGACATGTCAAAAGTATTGGGAAGCCAGTTTAAGGGGATCTCACGGAAAACTCTGGGACAATTTGAACATCAAAATATTTAATGATAGCCATTCAGTTTTAGGCAGAAACTGGCTGAGGTAGAACCCAGGGCCTAAGCATTTTAAAGCCTAGTTATTCAGAATCCAGGTAGGGCCTAAATCCACTTCAGTTTTAGTCAGAAAGTGGCAGAGGTACAATGCAGGGCCCAAGCATTTAAAGCCTAGTTATTCAGAAGCCGGTTAGGGCCTAAATCCATTCAGTTTTAGGCAGAAACTTGCTGAGGTAGAACCCAGGGCCTAAGCATTTTAAAGCCTAGTTATTCAGAAGAGCGGGGCTTCCGGGAAGATGGCGGAAGAGTAACACGCGGAGATCACCTTCCTCCCCACAGATACACCAGAAATACATCTACACGTGGAACAACTCCTACAGAACACCTACTGAACGCGGGCAGAAGACCTCAGACCTCCCAAAAGGCAAGAAACTCCCCACGTACCTCGGTAGGGAAAAGAAAAAAGAATAAACAGAGACAAAAGGATAGGGACGGCACCTGCACCAGCGGGAGGGAGCCGTGAAGGAGGAAACGTTTCCACACACTAGGAAGCCCCTTCGCGGGCGGAGACTGTGGGTGGCAGAGGGGGGAAGTTTCGGAGCCGCGGAGGAGAGCACAGCAACAGGGGTGCGGAGGGCAAAGCGGGGAGGTTCCCGCACAGAGGATAAGGGCCGACCGGCACTCACCAGGCCGAGAGGCTTGTCTGCTCACCCGCCGCGGCGGGCGGGGCTGGGAGCTGAGGCTCGGGCTTCGGTCGGAGCGCAGGGAGAGGACTGGGGTTGGCGGCGTGAGCACAGCCTGCAGGGGGTTAGTGCGCCACGGCTGGCCGGGAGGGAGTCCGGGGAAAAGTCTGGAGCTGCCGAAGAGGCAAGAGACTTTTTCTTCCCTCTTTGTTTCCTGGTGCGCGAGGAGAGGGGATTAAGAGCGCCGCCTAAAGGAGCTCCAGAGACGGGTGCAAGCCGCGGCTAAAAGCGCGGACCCCAGAGACGGGCATGAGACGCTAAAGCTGCTGCTGCCGCCACCAAGAAGCCTGTGTGCGAGCACAGGTCACTCTCCACACCCCCCTCCCGGGAGCCTGTGCAGCCCGCCACTGCCAGGGTCCCGGGATCCAGGGACAACTTCCCCGGGAGAACGCACGGCGGGCCTCAGGCTGGTGCAACGTCACGTCTGCCTCTGCCGCCGCAGGCTCGCCCTGCACTCCGTGCCCCTCCCTCCCCCGGCCTGAGTGAGCCAGAGCCGCCGAATCAGCGGCTCCTTTAACCCCGTCCTGTCTGAGCGAAGAACAGATGCCCTCCAGCGACCTACACGCAGAGGCAGGGCCAAATCCAAAGCTGAGCCCCTGGGAGCTGTGAGAACAAAGAAGAGAAACAGAAATCTCTCCCAGCAGCCTCAGAAACAGCGGATTAAAGCTCCACAATCAACTTGATGTACCTGCATCTGTGGAATACATGAATAGACAACGAATCATCCCAAATTGAGGAGGTGGACTATGAGAGCAAGATTTATGATTTTTTCCCCTTTTCCTCTTTTTGTGAGTGTGTATGTATATGCTTCCGTGTGAGATTTTGTCTGTATAGCTTTGCTTTCACCATTTGTCCGAGGGTTCTATCCGTCCGTATTTTTTTCTTAATAATTATTTTTTTATTTTAATAACTTTATTATATTTTATCTTATTTTATTTTACTTTATCTTCTTTCTTTTTTTCCTTCCTTCCCTCCTTTCTTCCTTCCTCCCTCCCTCCCTTCCTCCCTCCCTCCCTCCCTCCTTTCTTTCTTTCTTTCTTTCTACTTCTACTAATTCTTTCTTTCTACTTTTTCTCCCTTTTATTCTGAGCCGTGTGGATGAAAGGCTGTTGGTGCTGCAGTCAGGAGTCAGTGCTGTGCCTCTGAGGTGGGAGAGCCAACTTCAGGACACTGGTCCACAAGAGACCTCCCAGCTCCACATAATATCAAACGGCGGAGATCTCCATCTCAACACCAGCACCCAGCTTCACTCAACGACCAGCAAGCTACAGTGCTGGACATCCTATGCCAAACAACTAGCAAGACAGGAACACAACCCCACCCATTAGCAGAGAGGCTGCCTAAAATCATAATAAGTCCACAGACACCCCAAAACACACCACCAGACGTGGACCTTCCCACCAGAAAGACAAGATCCAGCCTCATCCACCAGAACACAGGCACTGGTCCCCTCCACCAGGAAGCCTACACAACCCACTGAACCAACCTTAGCCACTGGGGACAG